TCTCACTGATAGAATTTGCATACAATAATAGTTATCAGTCAAGCAATGGTATGGCACCCTACGAAGCTCTGTATGGCAGAAAGTGTAGAACTCCTTTGACTTTGACTGAGGTGGGAGACAGACACTGATGGGTTCAACTTTTGTGGATGATACTGTAATGAAAATTAATTTGATTAAGAAAATCTTGAAATTTGCACAAGATAGACAACAGAAGTATAACAATCAGAAGCATAGACTGGTCGAATTTCAGATTGGTGACTTTGTATATGTCAAAGCCAGTCCTATGAAAGGTGTTAGCAGGTTTGGAAGAGTGAGCAAGCTCAGCCCAAGGTATGTTGGACCTTTTGAGATCATTGAAAGGGTTGGTAATTCTGCTTATAGATTGTTATTGTCTGATCAGATGTGTGATATACATAATGTGTTTCATGTATCCTCTTTGAGAAAGTTGATATTTGATTCTGGAAAGAAAATTTAAATTGATGAGGTGGAAATTCAGGAGAATCTATAGTATAAAGCAGAGCCTGAAAAGATTTTGGCTTATGATATAAGAAAGTTAAGAAGTAAACAGATTTCGATGGTTAAGGTTCAGTGGAAGTTCAGAACGACAAGAGAGGCTACTTGGGAGAAGGAGTCAGATATGAGACAGTTATATCCAAGTCTGTTCTGATTCAATTTTATTTTGAAAATGTCGAGGACGACATTTTTCTGAAGGTGGGGAGATTGTGAAAACCAGTTTTCTGTTTCCTTCCAGGTTCGTCCGGACGAAGTTGGGATCGTCCGGGACGAATAGTTGAAAGCTTGGTGACAGAGAGTTTTGTCCCACGACGATCATAATTATCGTTCATATAAAGGCAACCCGAGGGCATCGTCCAGGGACGTAAGAAATTTCTTTCTGAATGATTAGAGTCCATAGGAGATCGTCCCGGGATAATTGGGGCTTATCGTCCGGACAATCGAGTTTGATGAATATCCGAATAGTGTCATTTTGAAGAGAGAGAAAGGGCATGAGAGAGAAAACTGAGAAAAGAGGAAGAAATTCACATTTTGGGCATCATCGGTCCATTTTCGTTCGTCACTATAGTTGGGAAAGTTGATTGACTCAAGGTAAGGCACATTATGCCTTTCTCAATTTTCAGAAATGTGGATTTGTTTGATTTTTTGTTTCGTTATTCGTTTTTTGTTAGCAAAAATCTGGTATAATTTCGTATCGGTAAAACTTTTGGTATGTTATAGAGTTAATGATTTTGCACGTTTTGAGTATTTTCTGAAAGTTTTTCATCGGGTATTTTGAATTCTGTGGAGTTTTTATCGAATAACAAATTATATGGATGTTAAAAAATATTGCTTCAGTGCAATAAAAGTCTTGAAATGATGTTTTCTACGATCTCTGGTAATTTGATAATTTTTTGAAACTGTGATTTTTGATCTGTTGAATTTTCGTTGTCTGCCGTTATACTCTCTGACGATATTCTGATACAAATCTGATTTCTCTGTATTTGATGTGAGTTCATGTTGATGTGTGTGCATGATATCAGAAGGGAGTTATAAGGGGCCGGAATCCTTTGAGGTCTGTGTCAGGAAAGGGAGGCATAAGGGGCCAGAATCCGTTGGGATTCTATTTGGGTCCAGGAATATGAAAATGAATTCTGATCTGATAATTCTGCATATCTGATATGTTCTGGTGCTTAAGCACAAAGGGAGGCATAAATGGCTAGAATCCTTTGAGATTCTGTCTGTGTCAGAGAAGGGAGGCATAAGGGGCCAGAATCTGTCGAGATTCTGTCTGGGTCAGGGATACGTGATTTGAAATATGTGATTTGAACTCTATTTGAAATATGATCTGAACTCTGATTTGGAATCTGATTTGAATGCTTTTGTTATATGAATTTGATTAAGTTCTTCTGTTTCTGTTATTTGATTTCTATCTGATTATCTGTTTTGTGTGAATATCTGAAGTCTATTCGTTTATCTGTTCCGCATGAATATCTGCATTCTATTTGATTATGTAATTTTCTATACAATTATCTGAATTATGTACGACTATTTGAATAAACTGTTTTTTATGGTTTTATTATGTGAGTTCTGGAGATTTTGATCGGCTAGTGTAGTCTTGCTGAGCTGTTAGCTCACTGTGGTTATCTTCATGGTTTTCAAGTTCTGGGAAGGGGAAGGAGATTTTGAACTAACCGTTCAATGTCTGATTTGAGATTAGGTATTTTTGCACTTTTGATTTTTGTACGGTCATGGCTATTCTGCTTTTCTGTTCTGTTCTTTCTATTTATAGCCATGCACTGTATTGTACATGATTATTTTGATGAATGAGAAGAGAGAATGTTGGATGAACTTTTATGTATTTGGATGTTTATAGTAGATCTGTATTTTTTGTATGTCTGTGGATTAGAAGAGAAGTCTGAGAACAAATTCCAAAACTAGATCCTGGATTCATCCGTCGCGACTCAACGCGATGGGATTCGTTCCAGTCGGGTTGGGTCGTGACAGCTAGGGAGCTTAGAAATGTGCTGTCAGGCTAAGTCTTCAAAGACGTTTGAAGGAATATGAGGTTGACGACCTGCGTGCGAAGGATGGGTAGAGCTTACTATGTGAGCAAGTTTATTATCTTGATGTGACGGAGGATGCATCCTTGGCTGGGGGAGAGAGGAATCTCTACATGAAAATGTTCGGGATGAATATCTTCGGCTAGTGGTAGATCTCAAGGGAGAAGAATCTCTTCCTGTGGTGCTAATATCGGTCACCGAGACTCTTGCAGGAGCCGAACAATCTTATTCTAAGATTCCTTCATTTTCCATATGTGATCTTCCAGGGATGGTCCTGAGGCTCCTTCTCTGGTAGGGTTTTGGTCCCCGGGGTGGAAATAAGTCTATGCTTAGCATCCCTGGTTCATGGAATGATTTCTGGATTGGAGTGAGTTGGAGCGAGAGGCTCTCAAGATGTGATTGCTACATCTGTTGTCCATCGAAGGGGTGCTTAGAATAGCTGGATTAGATTTCCCACAGACGGCACTAAACTGTTGCATGCTAGAATATATGCGACAATAGATTTATAGTTCTACGTTTTAGCATTGTACGGACATCCAACTCACACACAGAGAACATAAGAATTTTTACGTTGAAAATACTGGAAGGGGGAAAAACCACGGGGCTTAGTGTACTTGAAAATGATTCAATTAGAATTTGAGTTGAGTATAGTGGGCTTAACTCGTCATTGAGGGCGATCAAATTACAAATGTCAAACGTATGATTGTAGTATAGTGAAAAACGGGGATGAAAATCCGGTGTCACTTGGTGGTTTCGTGGAAGTCTGCCTTCAATTAGTGATATGGTGGAAGTCTAGCATCCAGCGGTGGTTAGGCATCAGGTGGTGGTCCGGCAAAAGTTCGGGCGACAATTGGTGGTCTGGCAGAACTCCGACATTAGGTGGTAGTCTGGCAGATTTCCAGCATCTGGTGTTGGTTCGGCGGAACTCCAGCATCAAATAGTTGTCTGGCGAACTCCAGGCATGAGGTGGTGATCTGGCGGAACTCCGGTGTCAGGTCGTGGTTTGGCGGAACCTTGGCATCTGGTGGTGGTACGGCTGAACCCTGGTGTTAGGTGGTGGTTCGGCGGAACCCTGACATAAGGTGGTGGTCCAACAGAACCCTAGCATCAGGTGGTGGTAATGTGGAACTCCGGTGTCAGGAGGTGGTCTAGCAGAACTTCACGTCAAGCGGTGATCTGGTGGAACTTCGACGTCAGGCGGTGGTCCGATAGAACTCCGGCATCAGGTGGTGGTCTGGTGGAACTCCGGTGTCAGGTGCTGGTCGGACGGAACTCCGAGCGTCAGGTGGTGATCCAGCGAAACTCTGGCGTCAGGTGGTGATCTGGCGGAACTCTGACGTTAGGCGATGGTCCGGCAGAACTCCGGGCAATGGTCGAGGAGGAGCAACAGGGCAAGAGTGATCTCTAATCTCTCTCTTGTTTCCTTTTTCTTGGATCCCTTTTTCATGAGAAATGAGGGCTCGATATATAGATTTTCTAGAGTAACATGACATGTAAGTAGGAGAAAGATCAAGGGTATTTTAGTAGTGGTTTGTATGGACGACCAATGTTGATTCCCTTATAATGGATCGTTTGTTGGACATTTGAATGTTTTAGTGATATTGGAATTTAAGGATCTTGGGCTCGTTGGACTCGTCTCGTCGAGCCACTTGATTCAAACTATAAGCATGTCACAATTGGAAACCATTTGGTAAACCAAATTGTAGTTTGACCAAATTGTAGTTTGAGCCTTCTAACAACGCTTCAGATCCTTGATTTGGACCCATTTGGGCTCAGATTGAGTTGAATTTTGTGTCGTTGGATTTGTATTTTTAAGACATTTAGTTCGACTGTAAGTTTTGGTGAAATCGGAGTTCAGATGTCCCAATTTTAATTTCGGAAGTTTCTAACTTGATTTTGCCTCGAGATTCGTCCCAATCAAGATAATATTTTGATGATATATCACTACAAACTTTATAAAATGCTGCAGCTGTTCGAAACAGATCCTAAATTATCACAAATAGATAACAATCATTGATATAATTTTGGCCATGAAGACTATAAAGAGCACTGGATTCAAAAATAAACTTAGGAGTTATCGACTAATAATAACTAATTGTTTGCAGGATGGGCTAAGAATTTTCTATGAAGATTAAAAATTAGTCAAAATTGAGTCAATGTCTGGCTCAATCAAAATAAATGATCAGCCAAGCCTGCTCAGATCAGATTGATATTCAATGGAGCCAGCTATGATCAAGGTTGCTCAGCTTGAGATCATATCAAACAACTTCGAGCAGATCTTTTTTTTTTTGGGAAAATTCTTCGAGCAGATCTTGAACATAAGTTAAATCGGATCAAGATTGGATTTTTTTCAGCCATAAGGAATTCGCTCAAAGTTCCATTCAGCTACAGATTTTTAAATAAAAATTATGCTCATGAAATAGCATTCTAGTAACAGTCTTCTAATTACAGTTGAAAAATATGTTCAGAATGGCTTCAAAACGTTCGTGTTCAACAGAACTTGAGCTCAAATAGAATAGAAAATCTCTACCTTACTCATACAAGGTAAAATAATGATTACAATAGTACACATGAAGAACAAAGATTTGGCTAGCTTTAGATGATTATTTTGATACAATATAAATCTATTACCATGAATCAAACTTACTGGAAAATAAACTGCACAAATTTCTGATTCATTGTGGATCTTTTATGATCATGTGATCCATTTTTTGATCAATCAGTATTGCAACGAAGTCAACATTACAGTTGAATTTTACCTAAAACTGAATCAAACCAGAGTCAAATCTGAGGTTAGTTTTAATGAGAAGTAGAAAATCCGTAACTTGGATTCATGATCTTCTAGTTGAGCTCTATAGAGAATCGTTCAGCTTGCAGCCCCTGGTTTCAACCGGGAAAAAGACTACAGCCATCCCTGTAAGAAAGATCACAGCTTCAAAGAGAAGAACAGCGGCTATTTTGTGGCAACCATCTACCAAGCCAACCGCCACAAGGGGAGAAATAATCCCACCAATTTTTCCAATTGAGTTTGCTGTTCCATAACCTGTACTCCTGATTGAGGTAGGATAAATCTGCAAACCAAAAAAAAAAAGCATTTTAAGAAATATGCGCAGTTCATATTTTCTAATATGGGTGCAGTTTCTGTTGTTGATTGTTCATGTGCAAATAAAGTTAGTGTTACGGAAAATGAATCAAAGTTAAGACTGACATACTAAGTAGTCAAATCTATTTTTAATACAAAAATTTAAGCTGGTAAGTGAGGGCCAACCAATTGACAGTTTTTAGTACTAGTAGCTTCTCGTTGACATGCTTCTTCCCTAAAATGTTTTCTGATACTTCATCTTTAGACTCTCTTTCTTAATGCCGCCTTCGCCTCTTGATTTAGAATTGATTGCTTAATCTCATGAATATTCTTCATTTTTTAAGTATCTTTTCATCATTTCTTTATTTATATCTATTATTTTTTCTATTTTGGATAGCTAAATTTATTGTTATTGAATGTATCAATATATTTATTAAAAATAATTCTATGAAATAATTTAGTTTGGCTAATGACTAGGGTATGTTGGAATAAATTGAGATGATCACCGCCTTGAATTTCATGTTAAATCATTGAGAAAAACTATCGGAAGTGTAACTGAATCCATTGAAATGCATAATCGAGATATTTGATCTTTTATGTTTGAAGTTGTATTCTAGAGAGAGAGATACTTTTTGCTCAAGATGGGAAATGAGCAAAATGAAATCGACCGCTTAAACTAGGGACCGCAACACTTTTTATATTTAATTGTATTTTAACTCATGATTATAATAAAACAAAATACTTGATCTTTAAATAATATTTAATTTTATACAAAATTAAATGAGATGTCATACACGACAAATAATAATTAATACTTAAGTAGATCACGAATTTAATTAGCTTAATTTTAGATAACAACCTATGCATTATCTAAAATTTATGTGTGTGTGTATATGGACTCACATATAGAAATTTTCCAACAATCTCCCACTTGGGCCTCAAGTGGTGGTCCGGCGAAGGCGAGGGCCTTAAGTGGTGGTCCGGCGAGGCTCCGGCAGTGGTCGAGGAGGAGCTTCTTCCTTCTCTTCCTTCTCTTCTCCTCTTCTCTTTTTCTCTTCCCTTCTTGCTTGAGTTCTCTCTTGTGAAGAATGAGGGCTATATTTATAGATTTTCTGGAGTGGCATAGCTCGTAAATAGGCATGAGATCAGGGGCGAATAGGGAGTGATTGAATGGACGGCCGATATTGAATCCTACGATCGTGCACCATTCGTTGGACATTTGAAGGCCTTCGTGAAGTCGGAATTTGGTGATCTTGGGCTCGTTGGATTCGTCTCATCGAGCCGCTCGATTCGAGTATAAGCTCGTCAAAATCGGAGACCGTTTGGTAACTCAAATTGTGATATGAAGCTTCCAGCAGCGCTTCGGGTCCTTGATTTGTGCTCATTTGGGCTCGGATTGAGTCGAATTTGGTGTCGTTGAGTTCGTATTTCCGAGACGCTCAGTTTGACTATAAGCTCGTTGAAATCGAAGTTCAGGTGCTCCCAGATTTAATTTTTGAAGTTCCCAATTTGATTTTTGCCTCGAGATTCGTGCCCGATCAAGATTATTTCATGATGACGTATCAATACTGATAATTATACATTATTAAATAATTGTAAGAACTCAATTGTTGTTAATCTAATGGAGTAACATCGCTAAGCAATTTGGTCAATTAATCATATCAATATATAATCAAAGCGACTTTTGTTATAATTCTTCATAATAAAACAAATTAATGGTTACTATATTAATATTATTAATTAAATAGATCAAGTATGGATGTATAATACGAAAATTTAATGTAATGTGATCATATAACATGTTTATTTTTAGCTGGCCTAATATTATAACTCAAAAGTGCTATCACTACAGTTTTAATATTTATGTTAAATTGTAATTAAAATTAACTTTACTTCAAAGTTTTCATTAAATAAGATAATAACAATACTTTAGTCTGAACCGAAACTACATTTACAACAATTGAATAATATAAATAAGTTTTCACTATGCAAATACATCATTAAAACAAATTACACCCATATAAGACACATGCTCATGAAATACCTTAGGTGATAATCTTTTTGTAAGTGGATTTGCAATCATAAAAGTTATACTAATATGTTTAATAAAAACTTGAGAACTCTTAACTCTTTCCTTCACAACAAAAAATTGCATATCAATATGCTTTGATTTTGATGAGTTCCTATTTTTCTTGGAATATAACTCAGCTGCTTTATTATCATAATTTATCTTCAATGATCTCTTAATGCTATCAATAATATGTAATAATATGATAAAATTTCACAATTATTTTGTAATAATTCAAATTACTTAAAATGAAATTATTTGAAAATATAAAAATCTACATTGTAGCACTCTGACGTTGTGCTTGAGAGCACAATGATGTTGGGAAAGCACTGTTGTGATGTTGAAACCTCAGTTCTATATTAACTCTAGATTGAACATGTAGTGTAGTGATGTTATGGTTTATGGTGTCACAACGTTGGACATTGAATAATATTTTTAATAATTTACTATAAATATCCCTCACCACTTAAGTCATCTTCCCCTCACTTTGTTACTTTGTCAAGGAAGGAAAAAAGGGAGAAGGAGAATAGAAGGGATAGACGAGAGGTGAGTGAGAAGAGGGATAAGGTCTTCCAGGGCTTTTTCGTCCATCGCTTATATTACGAAAATTATTTTGATCATTATAAGTGACCTCTATTCTATATTTATATTGAATGATTTTGAGTTTAGTACATTTCTCCCTCCCGAAATTGATGAAAATGAGATATCTTCTGTTTTAGTGAATTTTTTGTGGGCTCCGAAAATTCGGCCCCGGCCTCCGCCCGACTGTGCTTTTTATTTCTTTAGCGAGGGAGTTTTAATGGATTAAGTTCCGGGGCAAATTTTGGGAAGGAAGATGGGTTTATAGATAAGACACTACCCTGAGATTTCACCCTCGTTTTGCGAGGACTTTATGATCTGAGTTCTGGTTTCCTATAGATGCAAGCCCATATAGTTAATTAATCCTCTCGATCACAAGAGAGAACTTTCGATTAAGGCTAGTCGTCGTTCAGATACGTAGAGATGCGTGTTATCTGGCATATAGTAGCAGCATGAGCTTAAGAATTTTGGGATTTGAAAAGTTTGATATTTAAAATTAAAAATTTCACCACCTTGCACTTAAAGAGGATGGTGGGGGAATGGATGATGGACCCGTTCAAGATCCCATGGTTCCATTGTCTTGGGTCATCATGGTCCCTGGTCTACTTAGTCAGAGGAGGTATTCGACCCAACCTGACAGAAATATCCTTATCGGCAGCTATGGGTTGCTTCGTCTAAGGGGACCTTATAGATCTTGGTTGGATATTTGCCTAAGGGGACAAATTTGAATCCATCTTAGCTAACAAAGGGCTTTGTACCCTATCGATCATATCCTATTGATTCATATCTCAAGGATTTGATGCCACTAAGGAGCGTACTGGCTCTGACCATAATCGGTATCTTGTGGTGCCATTTGACGGCAAAACAACTCAATTCAGAGGGCCCCAGGTCATAACCATTTATTCTGCGGTACCATTTGACGACAAAACCACCGGTTAGAGGACACATACCACGTCCTTATTAGCCGGAGATTGTTTGAGAATGGATCATAGTGATATTTTCAACTAGGCATTAGCTCTATGTGAGCTAAGTAAATTTGAATTTGTCCACCTTGACAAACTATTGCGGAAGGTGGATGGATATTGCTTTAAGTATCTATAGATTTATTTCAATTTTAATTATTTTGGATTTTTGGAATTATGGAATTTTAGATTTTTGGGAGCTTTGAATTTCGTGGGTATTTGAAAAATCATTTGAAAGTATTTGCGAACCCCTCCGATTGAGATAGACATTCAACATGGCCATCATCGGGGTGTGAATTTGGTCATTTCCACTTGAAAATATTTACATTTTATAGATGAACCTTGTTAATTCTGTCGAGTTATCGACAAAGGATTAGGTTTTGTCATAGGCTTTGTGCCTTTACTAGTGAATTTTCATTGTTATAAGCCTTAAAGGCCTAATATGAATGTATCAAAACAAATATACTGGTCACCACAATCTTATATTTGTTTAATGGTTCGAACCCTGCCAACTCCTATTGATATGTATAAAAGGATCGGGTTCAAACTCGAATTCACTTATTAACCCGCGCAACATCCTTAGACGTCACGTATGTACTTATAACACGCTCACTGGGCCCATGCAAATGTTTTGGGGTATTTTTTAGTTGTTTTGTTGAACCTTGTCGAATCCTATTTACTTGCTTAGGAGGATCGGGTTCAAATTTATTGACACATATAGCATCCCTAGACATCATGTGTATTCCTACATCACGCTCGTCGGGTCCCATGCGGGTGTTTGGAGGTATTTTATAATTATTTGTTGAACCTTATCGACTCTTATTTACCTGCTTAGAATGATCGGGTTCAAATATATTAACCCACGCAGCATCCCTAGTCGTCATGTGTATTCCTACAACATGCTCGTCGGGGCCCATGCGGGTTTGGTGATTGCTTTTATCTCTTGTGTACCTATGTGTATACAAACTACGGTGCATGTACAGTACTTTGAAACATTTATAAACACCTTGTCTTCTTGCATAGATGTTACAGATCCGGTGGCGTGTTGTAACAGTTTTTTAATTAAGTTATTTGCTACTTTGTATATGTAGACTGTCATACACTACTTATTATTTTCTGCAGGTGGATTGTAGCGCACTAACGAATCTCCTACTTTGATTGTGGATATTGACAACAATTAGATATCTTATATATTTACTCATATATGGCACTTTGCATACATGAAAGACTTCCGTAGGAATTTGGATTTGTCGATGCTTGCATTTATTGTAGTTCTTTCATATTTCTTGCAGATAGTGTACTATGTGTACAATGAGTTTCATACAGTGACTAGTAGGAGCTTGCATTTGTTGTGATTCTTTAGCATTTTTCTGTAGATAA